TACAACGTCGTACNGAAAAGTAGTGGTCAAATGAACGCAACTGTTAGAATACACCATAGTGAAAGAGAACTTGCAGCGGAGAAAAGAATTAGCAACGCTTCCACCTTCTCCATGGACTGAGTTACAGTGGAAGCAGGGGAGGTTGGGAAGGGGTAAAAGGATTGATTGCTCTCAAATCAAATGTGGGTTATTTGTTTTCCCTTTAATATTACCATTTAAGCAAACTGAATCAGCATTGGGAACCCTTGCGGCAGCGTAGGGCGCCTGCATCAGATGTGATGGAGCCAACCATGGACGAGGATTTGGCTCCGAGGCTGGAGGCCTTCGCGTAACTTCCGGAGGATCCACCTCCGGAGGTGGTGAAGTAGGCGCCGTTCAGCAGAAGGTCGTCGTCTGATCTCCAATTCCAACTCTTCCACACGCTCGAATCCGTATCCACTCTCTTGGTTACCTGTTGGAGGGAAGTACCATATGTCAAGATAATGCAAGCATCATCAGCAGCGAATGAATTGATGATATCGATGTTATCTTACCTCCTTGGCAAAGGGGTTGGTAGGAGCGAGGTATCTGTTTCCTTGACTGTTGATGGTCGGGTCGGCGCTTCCGCCAATGGCGTACATCTCCCAGTGGGTGTAGTCATTGTTCACCACGTGGAAGTAGCCATGTCTGCACCTGTATTTTTACCGCATTTTAGACAGTGGGTTGACTTGAAACTCTTGTGAAACTGAAGCCCTCCGAGTAAAGCTGAAAGGTATGGCTTTGGGTAGAAAGAATTACCTAGGCATTCTTTGAATGAGACCTTCGCCGAAGTGGTTGTAGGCGATGGTGACTTGCATGGCCTTGTCCCTAACGTAAGAATCACTGTGGCCCAAAAGAATCACCTGCTTAAAGTCGATCGAGGATTTTGTGATTAGTGAGCAACCGAGTCGCACTGCGGAGATGCTTCGCATGTTCTAATACAGAAAGATCGGGGACCATACCTCATTGTGGTTGGTGAAGTAATTATTGGAGATGGTGATGGCAGTGGATCCTATAATGGCGTCGATAAGGCCATCAGCGCAGTTGGAGAGAGAGTTGTGGTCGACCCAGATATGACTTGCTCCGAAGATGGACACTCCGTCCCCGTCGGCTATCGTCCTCCAGCCGTAGTGGGAAGGGGAGCTGCGGACCATGGCGTTCCCCGTGGGCTTGCAGTCGTGGATGTGGAGTCCATGGATGATGATGTTGGTGACGAACTGGATGGTGATGCAGGCGCCGTTGGCAATGTGGACTTCGGCGCCGCGCCCGTCGATGGTCTTGAAGCTGTTCATGATGAGCTCCTGCTCGAGGGTGATGACCATGCTGCGTTTGAACACGATCCAGAGGGGCTCCTCCTGGATGACCGCGTACCGGAGGGTGCCCGGGCGCGGGTTCACGGGGTCGTCGTCACCGGAGTCCGTCACGACGTAGAAGCGGCCTTCTCGGCCGCCGATGGCGTTGCGGCCGAAGCCGATGCCGCAGTCTGCCAGGCGCTTGCGGTTGCGGTGCCATTCGGCGTCGCACCGCCAGCAGTCGTCGATGGGGTTCCCTGTCGAGCAGGACAAGTACCCGAGGGCCCGGCGAGCGGTGCTGTTTTTGATCATCCTGTTCACGGCAATATTACGAAAACAAAAAAGATGATGCGCCGACTAATGTGTGAAGATTCCGATTTCTTGTTATTGACACTGTATAAAAGACCTAGTGGGCCTCATTCACGGAGGCATTCATGCGCCGACCAACAGTGCATTCAGAAGCAGTGGTTGGCCGTGGGGGTTGGTCGCAACATTATTATTGCTTAATGGAAGGAGAGCCAGCGGAGCATGGCATGTTCCACCCATCGTGTGTGGCGACAGGATCTAACCATGGTGCCACTCGGACAGTAAATGAGAAAAAGAAGACAAAAAGTACAATTGGTGGGCAACTGGTGGACCGCAGTGGTGGGGTTACGAGGTAGTTCAAAATTACCGGCTGGAAAAGGCGCATCTATCTACAGGCTCAGCTTTCTGTAGCTAATGCTTAATCCAATATAGTTTTCCTTTTCCTTTCAAAAAAAGAAAAAAGTAAATGGCACATCGATACGTGGGAATAGACGCAGCATATGTCAAAATGGTCTTCCATCATCAGAGAGGGCAGTTGAAGGCTGCTTTTGAGGGGTAACAACGCGCTGCCGCCGCACCGTACGCGTCCCAAATGCTAACTAACAGTAACCACGGTTACAGGTCACGTGACGAGGTAGAGGACACGTGAGTAAGGAGAATTCTATTTAATCTTTGCTTCGGAGGAAACTACAAAAAATTGACGGGTAAAAAAATTGGTGAAAGGGAAGGAAGGTGGTGATCGAGAGAACTTACATGTGTACCTCAGACGCGACCAGTTCCGGATCGTCCACCGCGCCCACCACCACTTCCTTCCCAGCGGCACTGTAAGAAAAAGAGAGCACACAGAGGCCAACAAACACCATGAGAATCCAAAAGTCTAATCTGACCATTCGAGCGATAAAGAAAAATAATGCATCCAATTCTATGGACATCGAAGAAGATACATCTCCTCCACTGTCTGGGAGAATTACGCCCTCTGAGGCGATCAGTGACCTTCATGTCAATTTTCAAGCAGAGAACGGAGCGGGAGAGGAGTTACGCCCACATCCTTTACCCGATTTGACCGGTGTTCTGTCTCGGTACTCGCGGTGGTGGATCGAGAATTGTGGAGGAAAGAAGAATCGATTTGATTGCGCCTTTCTATTTGCAGTAAAATTTTGGTCGAAAAAAGATAAAAAGGAGTGGGAGAATAGAGCACGCATAAGGAATTCAACGGTTTGGATTTGATGGTTCAGATCCATGCGGTGGAGATTGCGTTTGAGGTCCGAAGCGCCACCGTCTCCGTCACCGCCCAAAGTGTTTCAGATCTCTCCACGGACGACATCGACGGCACGATTTTATTCCAGCGCTGACATCTTTGCCATGAGGGAAGACTCTTCTTAATGTGTTGCCTGATCCCGTTACAACTAATGATATTGACATGAATTATTGGACATTGACTGCAACGGGACTTTAGTCTTTCGGCTTTGATATTCCAAGTTCTTCATGGAATCCAAACTGAACTTCCAGGAATCGAAGAGATGGAAGGTCAAGATTCCACTCGAGATCAAATTTAGACCTCTTTTCTCTTTTCTCGCCCAGTAATTGTGTTGTCGCTATGGAAGACGAGGGGGTAACGCATCGAACGTGCACGAGAAGGAAAAGTGTTCGCAATGCACGCAAGTTCCAGAACAGAGGACTCATAAAAGCCATGGAAAAGCCCCTGATCCAGGTAAATCGCGTACATTTGGCATAATTAAGAACCAAGCGAAGCCAAATTACGAAATATTCGATTTGATTCCTCGGGAGATCATATTCCACGAGATTACTTGGAACAAATTGTGATCCATTAATCCAAGAAAGAGAAGAAGGAAATGTACCTCGAGACAGAGACGGTTTCGCCTCCAGACCACCCCATGGCTCCAGGTAGGAGAACCCAAAGCCCTAGTACCAGCAAACTGGAACACCTCAGAGATCGTACCGCCATTGCCACTGCCTCTGCTTTCTCGTACTCTCTCTTCTTTGATCTCAGATCTACGCTGCAATCCCCACAGGCACTCAAAAATGTCGGCGTGACAGAGGGAGAAGATGAGAGTTGTCAAAAGGATAAGAGAAGGAGTGGAAGAGAGATAGAGAGAGAGGAATAGTCATATGAGGCTAAAAGCACCGCCATTTTATATAGAAGTCGAGCGTTCCGCTCATTGCCACCACCACGCTTCCAACTTAACCGCGGTTAAACTGGCTATGGTTATTACCAGCACCAACGATCCTGACTGCCGTCAAACGGAGTCGTTGGAGGCGGGGAGAGCACCGACGGGGACGAAAACACGCCGCACGTGATAGCGGTGTCGGTTGGACACGTGCGAGATAGGACTCCGTGCGACCACCTCGTTTGCTTACTCCTGCTTCCGTTATTCTCTCTCGTTGACGGCTCAAATTAAGCAAACTCGCAACGCGTCGTAACACGTAAGTTTCGGATAACAGTTTCTTCTAATTAACTAAACCTCATGGAGCGCTGAGAGAGACTTTGCTCGTGGATGGGCACGTACGACGTCGTTGGATCTGAGGTCGACTACTCTCTCTTTCCGATCGAAACATGTTATCTTGGTGGCAGTGGTGAGTGACTCTGGGAAATATCACATCGACGCCGAAAGATCACAGGGATGTTTCGTTATACCTAAATAGCCTTTGCAATTCAATTCGAAGGTAGAGGCAAATGGTTTTCTCTGACTGATGTCATGTTGCACTATGTTTCGTATCCATCGTACATGTTAAAGAGATGAATTGTCTGAGAGAAGAATCCTGAATCGTCAACTTAAATCATTGCAAAAATAGAAGCTTTATTCTTGCATTGACAAATTAAGACATGTCATTTTGATTGGTGTTGAAAGAAGAATCAGAATCCGATCTAGATCCGCTTCCAATCAGAATAGGAAAATGCTTTGACTTGGTTCGTCCAGAACTAGAACTGGAATCAAAAGCCAAATACGACATCAAGTATTCAATTTCTTTAGCGTACTTGAGATGTTGGACAGTGTAATTGACCGCTCGTTGTCAGTGAGGCTAACCAGTAGAGTAGGAATTGAAGAGGACCGTCGTAATTGTTACGTTGCACCTCAGATCAAATCCACTAGTACTACTATAACATGGCGAAACAACGACGCCTTACCATCTTCACTCCGCTAGCTGTTATTTTGAGCTTGTAATGGACACCAATCCAATTCGCAGCACATGAAATAATGGCAAGAGGCCAAGCAAGAAACAGTTGGATTCCTCCCATCGTAAATTCTGTCGACATTAGTGAACAAAGATTTGTTTGTGGCAACTCCACGCAAGTATCTCTCCTGGATTATAAGGCTGTACGTTGCAGGACTGCATGTGAATCCGTGAACGTCTACACGGAGATGACTTGGATATGTCTCGCGTCCCTTGTCTTCGAATGCATGAGATCTGAGCACTTGTTAAGACGATCCCTAAAATAATACTCTAAACGTTCTGTAATTTGTCCTTTCAACATCCTGGAACAGTGAAGTACAGTATTGTTGTCTCTAATCTTTTACGGGAAACAGAAAAGGAAAGGAAGAATGGCGGGTGACAGAAAGTTGGTGGTGCTCAAACCTCTGTAATCATCGGTCAGCGGAGAAATCTTCCCTTTGCTTCTTCGATCAGCTTGCACATCAGATCACTAAACATGAAGGCATCGACGTCTTACCTTACCTTGACGAATAGATGGTACAAGTAAGTTGGTTCATTAAATCTTATTTCAGTGGAGAAGATCCTTCTACTCCTACGGCTACTCGCTCGAGTTATTTCTCCGAACACCGAGTCTGCAGGAGTACCTCCTACTAAGTCACGCCATCAATGGCGAAGGCGAGCTTGATAACTGGGGAAGCAGTTGAAGGGGGGGGTAGAAGATTTGGAGCAGAAGTCGTTTGGTGGGACTACGTTTTTAAGTGCTACCGACAAAAAGCTTGAGCCCACAGAAAGGCTTGGATATATAGATGCTCACATGGCGTGTGGTGAGCATTAAAGGCCGGATGGACGCCGAGAGCCGGTGGCCTCTCCCTCCTTTCCTCACCTCCTTTTTGTTCACCGGACGTGGGTAGTTTTTTCCATGTCAAGTAGACTTTGTACAGTGACTCGGACGGTCATTGCTGAGTCGCTTTCTTTTGTCTTACGCTCCACGTTGTACGGAAATCCTTTTTGTTGCCATGCACGCTAACGACGCCTAGTTGTCAGCGACAGCACACCATCCTTTTTATCCTTTGTGGCATACTACAGGCATCATGCCAAGAGAGTTAGAAGCGACAGCACTGTGTTTGATCGATCGCTGCTGGAATGGGTAGAACGCACGCAACTTAATGTTGATTTACCGGTTGTCATGATCGTAGTCTCATGTCAAGCAGGCCTCAATCTTCTCGATGACACCGGTCTCATTCTTCTCAATGATTAATGATTGGTTAGCAAGGAAAGCGAAAACAACTAAACAAAGTTGTCAACCATTTACCGATCAATAATTGGTCGAGGCGCATCAATGATTGATCCTTTTCAAGACGAGCGACATAAGTCCGCCTCCCATTAATGTTTTGGTCCAGGGGAACACGGTCCACGCGATTAACATGGGCATGTTCCTCCAGTGGGGCTCCCTTTGGACGTCTGTGTCCATCCATATCAATCAATAGACTTGGCTAAGATTCTCAAGGCAGCTCCAGCGAGAGTGACTTGGTTGTTGATGCTGATTCCCGTGCATGATGTACATAGATGGCAAAATCATATCCTAAGTCATTTAGAACCACTTATCGAAGAACGATGGTTGTCTCGGGACCAGATAAGGGATAGCTACATAGGAGCGTCCACTTTGCCTCTCTGTGCTGTGGCATGTGCTTGGATCAATCTCGACTGTTCATATCAGGTGCATTCTTTATTAACTAGTTTCCTGGCATTGGCATTGGCCTTGTACTGTGCATGTGGTTCCATGAACCAATGGATGTCCACTAAGAGTCACTTCCTGGTTGAGTTGGTAATGCACAAGTGAGACGAACCTTTGAGCAGGCGAAGCTACGAAGGGATCGGGCCCTTTTCACGACACTATCACACACTGTTCCTTCTCCGTAGGCAGGTGTCCTTGTGCCGTATTCCGGTAGGACCCTGAGCATTCATTCCGTACGTGTCATTGAGCTGGTATCACGCGTCGGATGATGGGCCCCGCGTCGGTGCGCCCATACAGCAGCGGATATTTCTACGTAGAATTATTCAATAAATTTCTTACAAATATATATTTATTAATTGCTTGGATCTTAAAAGAGAAAACAATGTTACTTTAATTATTTAATTTGTGTTGGTTGACTTAGGCGTACTATTGTCAAGATTAATCTTGGATCTATGGCACAATCTAAGACGAATCTCTCAGCATAATTTATTCACCTAACATCGAGAACATGCAAAGACATCAATATAAAGTCCAAAAGATGAGTTAAAAGAATGATCTCGCCTGCTAGGAAAGAGATTCTTAATTATGAAATAAGAAAGAAATATTTTTAATATAAAAAATTGTAAATAATAATCTTCTATTTGAACAATGAAGTTTGGTTGGGGAGCTGGGTAGTCCCCTCTATTGGATAGCCTCTTGGACATGTCTTCATACTGAGCTGACGATCCAATATAGCAGGCCAGTGTCGAGAGTGTCTCAGCTTGATCCTTTGACGTTTAAGTTAGGAAAACATAAAGGGAGGAAGACAATAGTATATAAATGAGAGAGTAAAAAATCATTTTTACTTGCTTGTCCCAACTTAGCCCACGTCTTAGCTTTTATACCTAGGCATTGGGTGGAGCATATGGGTCTTCGTCAAGGCCCCTCTTACCCTACGGAGGAGGCATTTAATATGAGCGATTTATCAGTGTGTGCCCTTAGGGGCAGCACCTAGGGACTATTAGGGTGACGCCTCCGGTTTGGCTTCTTTGCTTCTTTGTGTCAGGCGAGGCATTATCCTTTTGTTGTCCATTCGGAAGAGAAGGCTAGTGAAATCGAGCCATGCTGTCGACCATTAATACTGAATCAGATTTTCTTTTCTAAATGCAGGATTGATAATGAGTGGGTCTCACGAGCCTATTTTGGGAAGGTAAGACAACCAACGTGACCTTCAGTTGATAGCTATAGAGAGTAGGTTATTTACGGACATTTTCTTAAGTGTTCATGTGACAAGAGGAGCTGAGGAGTGTTAGGATTGTCCCTATCAAATGCCAAGCTTAGTTAACTAGATTTTACTTATCAAATTATGATTAGCCTAAAATATTGATCATATGAAAAGATAATTTTTTATATTATCAAGATTTATTTATAAAATTATATGTTTTCTTTAATCATTATCATCATCATCATCGTCATCACCACACACACATATTCATCATCATCATCATCGTCATCACCACACACACATCTCATTACCACATTCTTATGTACACCTTAAAACTCGTTTTGTCGTTCTTGGACACAATTACTTGTTGATCGCTTGAATGGATTAAACTCGGCATAACTCTGCTTGATTTCTACAAGTTCGACTTCCAATTTTTTATTTGACATGGTTCATCCGCTTCAGTGCCATCGAGCACTCACATATGCTCCATGGAAAATGAATAATAAAAAGAAAATTATTTCTTCGAATTTCCAAATCGAATATTTTCTTACGTCCCATCCGACCGTACACTTACGTTCTAAATTCTAATCCACGCCACCCACCCATCGGTGCTCCAATTCTACCCATCGCAGGCCAACCCGACCTGTCTTATTAATGCTGTGACAGAGATTGGGTCTCCTAAACCCGAAAATTTAATGGATCAGGTTCGTGTGTATGTTTTTGATACGTTTGTTGAAACGGGTTGTCTTCGGGTTGGATCTATTCGTATTTCGCATCAAGATCCGACCCGACACGAGAAGCACTCATAAGGGCGTACAAATCCGAATCCGTGCTGCGACACCGTACCCACACACTCGGCCCACTAAAGCGTGGCACGGTCTTCGGTGGTGGCCTGGGATGGCAGCCCATTCTGTTGTCACGAGATGGCGACGATGTCGCTTTGCGGATGCGAGCGCCGAGTGATCGGAAGTGCCTCCGATGGATTCGACCTGCCATCCCGCCGCTTGTTCAGCTGAGCCGTTGGATCTCCACGTTTCTGTTTCATCTACCGTTGCAATGCAACGGCGATCACAGGTACTTCCGATCCAGTACGCTCATCGGCGTTTCTCGAACGGATTACTAGAGGAGCCTTCTTCATCGGCCCCTTCCCCGGAGTTTGGAGGCGACAATAGCAATCCGTCATGGCTTGCAGCATCTCTCTCCACCGAATCCACTTCCTCTACTTTCCCCTCAAACCCCTCTCCGGTTCTTTCTTCTCCTCCACCACCGCTTTAACGCCAAGGATGCCACTTCTCTCCTCCCCCTCCTCCGCGTTCTCTAGGAACGGGGGCGTCGGATTCAACCGGAGCAAACAGATGCTCTCGGCCTCCGCTTCCTTATCCGACGACCTCCGTCCGGCCCTTGGCGAGAATCCCGAGGGAATCATCTCCGGAGAGTGGCCGGAGAATTTCTCGCTCCTCAGCTTCGATGACCTCCGCGCCTACCTTGAGACCCAGATCATCAGCGAGAAGGTCTCGCTCCTACTCCCTTTCTGTCCTCTTTCTTCCTTGACCGTGGTGTTGATGGCTTCCTTCGGTTTGTTTTTTCTTTGGTGTTCGCGCAGACGAAGCCGTCAGCTACGCTGGATACAGTGATGTCGACGGAGATCCGGACGGCGAGGCCGGAGCAGACGCTGGAAGAGATCGACCACAATTTCGAGGTTGTCTCTGGGCTTCCAGTCGTCGATGATGAGCTGAGGTGTATCGGTGTCATCTCCAAGAAGGACAAAGCCAGAGCATATAATGGGGTTTGTTTCTTTCATATTTTTATCCGTTTCTTTTCTTTCTCATAATCTTTTACATGTAATCTGAAGAGTTTCTTTAACATAATCGATTGATTTCGATCTGATTTCAGTTCTAACGTGTTGTGGCTGGCTGATGTCTGATAGGAGTCAAACAGTCGTCACCATAATAGTTTCTCATCAATGGAAGTCAGAAAGTCCATCACAATTTTTCAGATGGATTCTCTAATTTGACTGTTCATATGCCATACAATAACGAAATTCAAGCTACGCTTGATGACTCTAATATTTATCTCATTAGTTTAAGGTACTATCACGTTAGTCTAGTCAAGCATATTAAATGCGTCATAGTGGTTTAGGCTCAATCAGCCTGTGAACATGATATATTATACATGCCTCTATGGTTAATTAGGCTTAATCGATGTGTGTCTATGATGTATTTACACATAATTGTATGATGCTATCACAAAAGGTTGATGTAGGCTTAATCAACCTGTGTAAATGTTGTATACATGTATACCGATAAACATATGATGTAAAATAGGCATATGTATGGGAATACAAAAAGTTGAGCTTCACAATCTGAGTTTATATGTTCATGAACTTGTTACATGATTTCAAACATCATTATTTGGACAAGTACCATTTCTGTAGTTTCCTCTTTAACTTGATGTTGAATATTGAGCTGTCACTTCCACAGCTACAGAAAGTGCACAATTGCTTGCAATCTATTTACATAGACATAATCATCCTATTTCCGAGATCTCTTTTTGTGACTTTGTGTGTGTATGGTAATGTTAGAAGCACTTATCAATTCTCAAACCTACTTTCATTCTTGTGTCAAGAGTCTTGCACTTGATTTTCACTTTGTTAATCTCTAAACAATTGCTTCAGGCTGCCCATCTTTGTGGATCCAATGAGTTATAGGGGTCTCTGATAGGGTCATTCTTAGTTGGATTATTGCAGAGCTCTCACAATTCCAATCTATGTAACTGCCTTATTTTCTGAAGTGTATTTACATTCTGAGTCAAATGTTGAATCTCATTTCAGGAGAAATAGATAGGAAAAAGTTGATGTTGTGCATGTATAAATAAGACAACTTATCATTGTGACAGTGGATCTTTCTTGTACTAATTGCCCCATTGCCTCGTGAAAAATCAAGATCAGTGGAGATCTTCTCAGAATTGAAGTTTTCTATGCATAGAGTTTTCAGTTCACTTGCTTACATAAAATCATTTGACGATTTGACTAATGTTAAAGTTCACTTAGGATGCATATTTTCAGAGTTGCTGTGGCCTTTCAAATCATTCACTCACATTTTTCAGTCCTTACATTGTCCATGTTGGGATGCTTGTGGATTTGAATGTTGAAACAAACATTTGTACTGGGAGCTACTGGTCATTAAGCAAGGTAGCTTTTTAGTGATTGTGGCATGTGAAAGGCTTAATCTTTTTTTTTTTTTACAACAAAAGGCTTAATCTTTTTTTTTTTCTTTTACAACAAAAGGCTTAATCTTGCTCTTCCATGGTACTTCATCCTCTTTCCTGCTACACTCTTTGCTACCTTCCAGGATTCTTGTCCATCAGCCTAAGGACTGCAGCTATAGAAACAGATCAAGTAACATTTTGCAATCTACTTTCACCTTCAACTCATTTATGCTTCCTCTGAAGCTTTTGCTCTTGAACCGAACTCACTTAATTGGCATGCTTCTCTTGCCACAAATTGTACTGACCCCAGCACTTTGACTACGTAGATCGACCTCAGGTAAACTCCCAGGTTTTGCTCTTTACTTGGTATAATTTTACTTTAGGACCTTAAAACATCTTGGTATTAGAACAAGCCAACCAGGCTTTGCCAGGAAGATGGTCTATTCCACAATATTCAGCATAATTTTTTATCTTTCTACATCTTGTTGTTTGTTTGTGTCATCACAGTAGCAATATGTCCATTTTCATCCTTTGCATATGATAACTATCCAAGACATGGTCAGAATGAATTGAACATGCAACCCATATCTGAACTAGCAAAAGAGTCGGACTTATTTTGCTCATGGCATGGATGAAGATATGATAAATAGCCTTTGTTTGGTTGGGGAAATCATTTATGACTGAGAATGAAGCATCTTGAGTGGGCTCAAGATAGAGAATTTGTATGATTTTCATGGTGTATCTAAGCAGAAGATAACAATTTTTTTCCTGGTAGTTCATTTGCTTAATTAATCACCAGTATCTTGTCTCAACACTTGTCTGCAGTTCAGCCATTTCCACGGAGGTTGTGAATCATGTCACTAGGTTCCATGACTTGGAGCAACTTTATCTAGAGAACTGAAGCATCTTAAATATTGGTTCGGTCATCCATCATAGACGGCACATTATCATGAAGCATTAATTTGTACTGAGAAGTAATGGTATACTCAAAATTTTGGGATCAAATCTTCTGTTGTGAGTATATCTAAGACATGTCCATTGCCCTGAACGGTTGACAGCTAGTTACACTGATCATGGGGATAAAAGCTAATTTTGTCTTTTCATGAACCTTGTATTTTCAGAGCTCTATAATTTGCTAATATCCAATTTTGCTTAAGCAGTTGAAATCCAAGGTCGGTGAAGTCATGTCTTCTCCTGCAATCACACTATCCCCTGACAAGACGGTCTTGGGTAATCTTTCTTTACTACGCATGTTGCTTCAAAATTTTTTGGTCAAATTTGAATAAAACTGTTTCGATGTTCATAATTGTGCAGATGCTGCAGCTTTAATGCTTAAGATGAAGATCCACAGGATACCTATTTTGAATAAAAGTCAGAAAGTTATAGGTAAGTGTTACAGAGTGTTTAGGGAGAATTTCAATCATGAGGCCCTTCCTACCATGAACTGATTTTTTTCTTTTCAAAACTAGGAATGGTTACTCGCACCGACATTTTCCAAGCACTGGAGGCACAGGAGGTATAATCCATCCTTTAAATCTCTCCTGCCTGTTTTGTTTATAAGGAATAATTGGAAAAGATGCTTTAGGATGGTATGCAGCTACGGCCTCCGGGTCCTAATCTTGTATAGTTGGTGATGCTGTGATGAACTGTTGTTTCATAATACTATGCAGTTGTGGCTTCTAATTATTATTTTTGTAGCATGTCATGCTGGTGTTTTACTGCTTTCAACACTGTTCTTTTGGTTGGTCAGGTATTGTTATCTGGTACTTGTGATCATCCTATTTGTATTAGTTTTTGAAAGTGAAATTTAACCGCAGCATTAATTGAAATCTCAATATAAGATTTGGTTCCTTGCATTATTGGGGCTTCTCAAGTAGGATATAGAAACAAATAATAGGCATTTTGTCTCCCCATCTCTCCTGTCTTATGTGCTTTATTTTTCTGTCTTGTTTATTGGGATTAGCTGGCACTGTCCGATTACTTGGAGCCCTCCCAAGTCCTTCCTCAACCTACCTAATTGATGTGGTCCCAAAACAAAGTGCTAGGCTTCTTTGTATGAATAATATATGTCTCTTGGAATGAGATGAATATGATACTTTGTGAGGGTTCTTTAACCTTGCTATGCATGAAACAAGGAACTCCCACCATCTATCTACAATTAGAATTGTTTAGTGTAATGCGAAGGTTAACAAAAAGACAAATTGAAGGCCAAAGAACACATGATCATCAGTCACTAGTTTTCTTGGCAAATCTTGAAATTTCTCAACTAGGCTTATGTTGATCATTAGACCTGCTACCACTATCTAGCTTAAAAGGCATAAACTAGATTACCAAGCGTGTCCATTCATTCGGTCGCCTGACTATAATTCACTGGTGATGGCATTCTTCTTTAAATTTGCTAGTACGATTCTGCAGCACAACCACACAGATAGAAATCCAACATCATCTTTATTCGTCGAGCCCTTCACTCTTGGTTTAGTAGTCACATATAGCTAAGCGAGGAACCAAAACCAATATGCTGACCCTCTTCTTTACAGATCCAAGGCCAGTGCTTAGTAGAGAGCACAAGAAAAGAACTACAGCAAATTACAAAGCTCAAAAAAAGAAAAGAAAAATGAGATACACAAAATGCTGGTCAGGAAGGATAGGCAGAAGTGGACTCGAATGGTGATTTGGCCCTGGCGGAAGAGTAGATGCTGGAAGCAGAGAAGCTGGAATTACTACTGTTACTCTGACCCCGTTGGCCCAGCAACGCGCTGCATGAGGTCGACGTCGTAGCGTCGACTGCCGCGGCTGGTGCTGCTCCCTTGAGGAGGCAGTCCACCTTGGCGTATTCCTCCCTTTCATGCCGGATCTCTTTGAGCATCGCGGCCACGTCCTTCATCGTCGGTCGCTCGTCCGGCGCGGCGTTCACGCACAGGAGTGCCACCCCGAGCACCTGCAGCATCTCCTGCACCTCCGAGTCTGGCCGGCCTCTGAGGCCGGTGTCGAGCACCTCCGCGCTCCCTTTCCTCCGCCGCACCCAGTCCACCACATGGAGCCCGTCCGGGATCGTGGGGTCGATCGGTTGCTTCCCCGTTAGCACCTCCAGAACCACCACACCGTAGCTGTACACATCGCTCTTCTCCGTGATCTTCATCATGTAGCCGTACTCTGCAAAACATTTGACGCTGTTAGGCACTCCTGGCGTTCACTGCAGCAACGAAAGGGTGGATTTCGATTTCGATTTCGATACCTACCGGGAGCAATGTAGCCATAGGAACCGGCGAGAGTGTTCGACGACCGAGCAAGGTCCCCGTCCTCGACGAGCTTCGCGAGCCCGAAGTCGGCGATGTAGGCCTCGAAGTCGAGGCCAATGAGGATGTTGTTGGCCTTGATGTCTCTGTGGACTATCGGCGGAACACAGTCATGGTGGAGGTAGGCCAGACCCTGGGCGGCTCCCAGGATGATCTGATACCTCAAATCCCACTCCAGGGAGAAACCGGTGCGCTCGTGCAGCAGCCCCCCCAGGCTGCCGTTGGCCATGTAATCGTACATTAGCAGCCGAGTGCTCTTGTTCCAGCAGCACCCCAGGAACCTCACGATGTTCTTGTGCCGGATCGAACCGAGCGTCCGCACCTCAGCCGAGAACGAGTCCCGGACTCTGCTGCTGTTGCAGTCCTCCTTTGCTGCCAATTTTCCGGCTGATGCGCTTGTTGGCCACAGCTTCTTCACGGCGATGGCTTCCCCGTTGTCCATTTGAACGCGGTAGACCACTCCCGAGCACCCTTTACCGATGACATTGGCGTCGACCAAGCTACGCACGACCTGGTCCACGGAAAAGCTCAGCTTTTGGAAGGGCGTGAACTGCCATGGCCAAGACATCTCCCCGCCCATCTCGGAGCCGTCATCTTCACCGCCTTTCCCTCCCATTCTCCTCGCCCTTATCACTCCGATCATCCCAAGAACCATTGCGACCGTCGCAGTGATCAGCAGTGCTATAGCTAATTTCAACTTATGCACTCTTCTGCTCTCGGCCTCAACCGTCATGATTGGCCGGCCATTGGCATCCAAGGTGACGAAGCACACGTCTCCACCGTGGGTGCAGAGCCCTTGGTTGCCGGCAAGGTCAGAGGCCGAGAGTTGGCGGAAGAGCTTAGTGTCCGGAAGGTAGCCGGTAAAGTTGTTGTTGGAGACGTTCAATGTGACCAAGTTTTCTAGTCCAGCAAGCGGAGTGAGACTTCCGTCAAGCATGTTGTACGAAAGGTCGAGCACTGATAGTTTGCTGAACGCAGACATCTTCGCCGGGATCGGTCCGGTGAGCGCATTCCTGCTAAGATTAAGAGCAATGTCAAGCCCTTCAATGAGGCAGAGGTCGTCGGGGATGCCGCCGGTGAGCTGGTTGCTGCTCAGGTCAAGCAATTCCAAATTCGAACATTGGCCGAGCGATGTTGGTATCGGGCCGGTCAGTGAATTACCATTAAGCACGAGCTTGTTCATCGAATCCAGCTTGCCAAAGCTGCCGGGGATCGGCCCCGTAAGCCGGTTGAGCGACAGGTCAAGTACCTGCAGCCTGGTGATCAATGATAAGGAATCGGGGATGGCATCGGAGAGGGTGTTGTTACTGAGGTTGACCATTTGTAGCTGGGAGCAGTTGCCGATGGACGCAGGAATGGGGCCGGTGAGCCGGTTGCCGGAGAGGTCGAGGAAGTCGATGCTCTTAAGCCCGCCAATCTCAGCGGGGATGGGACCGGCAATGCGATTGTCGCCGAGGCGGAGACGGACGAGGGAAGCGCACCTGCCGATCTCGGCGGGTATTGGGCCGGAGATGTCGTTGGAGAGCAGCAAGAGCTTGGTGAGGTTGGGAAGGAGGAAGAGGGCGGGCGGGATGGGGCCAGTGAGGTGGTTGTGGGAGAGGTCGAGAGCCTGGAGGTTCGTCAGCGAGGCGAGGGAGGGAGGAATGGCGCCTTCGAGCTGGTTCTGCCACGCAAAGAAGACGGTGAGCGACTTGAGCGCCGCGAGCTCGGCCGGGATGAGGCCAGAGATCTGGTTGGTGTCGAGCTGGAGCTGCGAGAGCGACGTGAGGTTGGCAAAAGAAGGCGGTATGGAGCCGGAGACGTTGTTGTCGCTTAGCATGAGATCTTGGAGGTTTGAGAGCGCGCCCAAAGATGGCGGGATGGCGCCGGAGATGGTGTTGATGGAGAGGTCGATGGACTGAAGGGAAGAAAGGTCTCCGAACTCGTCTGGAATGGGGCCGGAGAGCACATTTTGCCACAGGAGAAGCCTCTCGAGCTTCGACAACCTGCCGAGCGACGCTGGGAGCGGTCCAGAGAGCGAATTCTCGTAGAGGTACAGGTTGACGAGCGACGAGCAGTTGCCGAGCTCCGGTGGGATCGACCCTGACAGCATGGTGGTGTAGATGGACAGTGTCTGGAGATTAGACAACCGGCCAAGCGACGCCGGAATGGGGCCGGAGATCTTAGTGTCGGCGAGGCCGAGGACGGTAAGGTTGGCGCAGAGGGAGAGGGAATCTGGTATCGGCCCAGAGAGGTCGCGGTTACCACCGGCGCGGATGGTCTCGAGGAGGGAGAGGTTGCCAAGGGAGTCTGGAATGGGGCCGGAGAGGCGGTTGTCGAAGAGGATGAGGTGGCGGAGGGCGGCGGCGGAGCCGAGCTCCTCCGGGATGAGGCCTGAGAGCTGGTTGGAGTTGAGGATGAGGGAGGAGAGGTAGGACAGGCGGGCCAGGGCGGCAGGAATGGCCCCGGAGAGGGAGTTGGAGCTGAGGTCGAGGAGGGTGAGGAGGGAGCAGGCGGCAAGGTCGGACGGGATGGCGCCCGTGAGGTTGGCGTCGGAGACGACGAGGGTGGTGAGGGAGGGCAGGGCGGCGCAGAGCCCGGCGGGGAGGGGGACGGCCAGGGAGACGGATCGGATGGTGATGGTGGACACGGAGTCGTCGGCGTTGCAGGCGATGCGGCTCCACTTGCACGGGGTCGCGTGCGCCGGGTCCCAGTCGGGAAGCGCTCGGGCGGAGGAGGAAGAGGAGTTGATCCACTGGTAGAGCGCAGTGACTTCTTGGTTGGCAGAGGCAAGCAAGGAGGAGGAGAAAGGTGACAGCGAGAGCAGCAGTGGCAGGAGGAGATAGAAGCAGCAGAGTGGAGGGTGGTGACAGAGGAAGAGTGGGAGGAGGTGGCGGTTTTGGCATGGGGATGATGGAGGGTGGCGCTGTTGCCTCGACCTCGGCATCATCAAAAACTCCTCGACTTCAAATCCCAACTCGCTCTCCCCGGTGCTCTCTCACTGCTTGTTTTGCATCGGGTCTCCTCCCTCTTTGTTTGCTCTTTCTCGCCGCTTCTCCTCGTTTAAATCTCAAAAATATAGCAAAGCCCAGCACTATAATTTTGGTGGGGTTGCCTCCACATATCTATCGATCCAGCTATCCATGTTTTCCACGTACTCTACGAGTTCCTTGAAGCGTCGTATATTGGGTACACTCGTCTCCCGCTGCAATCGGTGGCTCAAAGCTCATCTATTTGCAAGCGCGGGACTCGGGCGCACCGGACCGGACCGAGCGGCGACGTCGGATCGCATCACCCGCGGGGCCGGCAGCAGCAAAGAGACGACACCATGTGTGCGTGTTTGCATGAAATGGTGGGGTGGGGCTACTGTTTCCCTATGGATTCGTGCGGTGAGTCGATGAAACCGGGATGCGCTCGCCTCCATG